GGCGTGCCAGGCGGTCTGGCTGCGTCGGTTGCTGGGAGAGCTGACCGGCGAGGAAGCTAGTCCACCAGCTCTGATGGTGGACAACCAGCCCGCCATTGCCCTTGCAAAAAAAAATCCAGTCCTCCATGACCGGAGCAAGCACATCGATACCCATTGTCACTTCATCCGTGATTGTATCGATGAAGGACATATTGTTTTGGAGTTTGTCGAATCCGAACGGCAACTCGCAGACATCCTTACCAAGCCACTCGGCCGTCTTCGGTTCATGGAGCTAAGGACCAAGATTGGAATGGTGGGAAACAAGCAAGAACAGCAGGATTAGGGGAAGAATTGTAAGAAATATAATCTGATGTTTCCTTGTTGTTTCCTTGCAATTTCATTACACTTTCCTTGCAGCTGCAAAACACTTTCATAGCAGTCATTTTAGGCTGATTTTTAGGACTTTTCAACTTAAGTAATTTCTAGGAAAGTTACTAGATAGTTGTTTTTAGTTCTTATAAATAGGGGTGCAGTTTTTGTTTTGAAAATATACAGAAAAACTTAATACTCAATACATTGAGTTGTTCACAATCTTCTTCTTTCATCCTAAAAGTGTTAGTTTGTGCCGGAAGCATTTTTGCTTACCTGAGCAATGAACGGGCAGGGACTAACAGAAACACCATTGTAGAAATTGACACATCATATGCATAGATGTATTTCTAACTAGTTTCTTCTGATTCATATTTTTTTATCGCGAATTTCTTAAGCATATAGTTTTTTCTGATTCATAATTTTTCATTGCGCATTGCTCGAGCATGCATGAAGTCATGTTTACACGCCCTCTAAGTTACTTATCATCTATCCCTTTTACCGATTTCACTTGTTATTAATTGACAAGATTTGTTTGGAAGAATGTGCGTATCGTCATCTTGTTTGTTAATAATTCGTGCTCCTCCTGCAAGGGATGCCTTTGGTCTTACAAAATCCAAGGAAATCGTTGCATGACAAGTGAGGTCCTCGCGGAGTTAAAAATAGCACATGCTGATTCCCCATGTTAAGCTCTCTTTAGAGTCATTGGCCTGTTAATTTGATTGCTCAAGTAGATGTCTGGGAGACTTATGTTAATTATGATAAAAGTTAAAATTTGCGATGGAGGAATTATTTTTTATCTTTGCGCATCCACTTTTTGACTCGGTTTGGTTTTACAGGAGCTTACCTTGGACTGACGGGAAGTAGGATATCAACACCAGCTGATGCTTTATATGTTGGTCTGGGAACACATTACGTGCCTTCTGATAGCCTGGCTGCACTAAAGGGAGATCTCCTAGCAACCACATTGTATGCTTTCTCCTAATAGAATGTCAGATTGGGTTATATTCTGCATTCAAACAGAATCTATGCTTATGCATTCATGACATTTTGAAAGAGTTGTACTACCTGTTTTTCCATCTTTTGAGTTAAGACTGTTCTCATTTCTAGTAAAGGTATACTTAACATATGATAAATCAAAATTTTATATTAGTGTTAGCTGAAAATGATCATATGCTATATGAGTATATATAATTGCTATGCATTGCATACAAAGCATCTCATGATCATATGATATGAGTATATATTATTGCTTGCTTCGCATAAAAAGCATCTCGTTGATCTGTGATAAAAAAAGCAGTAATATTTAAAGACTTGCTTCAATTGTTTTCTATAGTTCTGAGGACCCCGATCAGGAAATCAGAGCACTGTTGGAAAGATATAGCAGAAACCCTGAGGCTGAACCTCGTCTGAAGTTACTTTTACCACGGATAGTTTCTACCTTTGCAAGTAGCAAGTCTATAAAGGAGGTAATGGAGGAGCTAGAAAATCATCAGCTAAGTGGTGATACCCTGGGTGAGTACTAGTATTAATTTACCATAATTGGCTCTGGAATTTTATATATACAATATATATAGAGTTAAAAAGGCTCAGTAGTACACAAACGGCATGTCTGAAATTTGGCCGGAAAATACATATTTTTCTATTATAGAAAATATGAAAATCTGTGAGGAAAAGTTAGCCACAGAACTAATTCTGTCCACATTTTTAGCTGCCACACAATTGATTCTTTTGCACAATTGTCTGACTGTTTCACTGAGTTAGTTGCATTCTTTTCGCTTAAATGGTTCTCGTGCAATGCATGGGCAATATGCTAGTGTACTATTTCTCTTTTAAATTTCGAACTATGTTTGGCAGTGGCGGAGTGGGCGAAGGATGCACTGCAAGGGCTTAGGAAAGGAGCTCCCTTTTCTCTTAACCTTACAAGAAAGCATTTTTCAAGGGTGAAGTATGCCCAAGGCAAGATCGATAATGATTTATCCAAGGTGAGCACTTCTTGTTCCCCGTATTAACTTACCTCTGTTCAGTGGTGAATCATAGGTGTTTGTTTGTGTGATTTTTTTCTTCATTTTTTCCTTCTGATGTCGACCTTCAGTTCATTTTACATATTTCAAACTGGTGTCTTGAAACATACTATGTGCAGCTGACTGGTGTGATGAAAGCTGAATACCGAATTGCAATTAGGTCTGCTCTTAGAAGTGACTTCACCGAGGGCGTTCGGGCTGTCTTAGTAGACAAAGACCAGGTTAGTTTTTCTACTTGATTAGAGCATCCACAATGCTTTGGGTCTCTTTTTGCATATGTGGCAAATAAATAGACTTAAGTCCATAATGACATGGACAAACCTAAACTAAAAAAACCAAAATCTATCCAATGCAAAACAAAAAAGTACTAGGTCTAGAATACATGACAACCAATAAAAATGCTCTAGTATATTTCATTTATTAAAAGAAAAATTAAATGAGGAATAAATGATGAGTGATTGGGTTTGTACTTGGGTCTAAAATAGACCCAAGTGTGGACTAGGTCTCATTTTTTTATTGCCACATAAGCTAGACTAGGTCCACTTTTAATTGCATTGGAGAACACTTTTTTATAGACTAGGTCTATTTCTTACATGGCATGTAACTTTTTTCTATGAAACCCAAAGCATTGTGGGTGCTCTTATTATCCATTCAGGTAAGTTATACTTTGGATTTTGTTTCATTGAACACTGGAAAATCTGCAGATTTTCTTCAGTTAGATTTTTGTTCCTCATGAGAATTAAAATTTTAAAGAGAAACAATCATGATAGTAAAAGTTTTAACAAGGAACAATCACGAGAAAAAAAAAAATAATAATAAAAATTAGGTAGTAACATGTTTTAATAAGTCAGTCATTGCCATCCCTATCTCCAGATCCAATTACGTAATTGACAATCTGCAAATTCATAACTACGTCTCAGTACATCAAGTGGCATGCGATAATAAATTAATGCTCAAGGACAAAAGCAGTGTTGTGTCCATTTAAGATCTGAACTATCGCTACTTTCAAAGTGTGGGCAGAGAATAATATAAAAAAGTGCTCGTAAAACAATAAGGATTCCACTCAAACACTTCACCATACTAGAAGATTCACGTGTTATATATATATATATATATATATATATATGTATAAATTTAGTGGGCACTAAATGTAAACAATAATAGTTTTAACTTAGAGCTATGATTTAATAAAAATAAATTAATAATTTTATATATTTTCATACTATTATTGTTTATGAATAACGACCAAACAAGATTGAAAATACTTTTATATATAACAAAACATGGACAACTTATGTGTTTCGTGAATATTACTATTACATATGCACTACTCTTTTTTATATGGACATTCAGGACTTCTCATAACAATAAAAAAGAGTTAAATAAATTATAAATTAGACTCTTTAATCTCATATTTTTATCTTGATATTGTAACGTCCTTTAGTCCAAAACAACGATGCTTAACTTTTGAGCTTATATGGATTGGTTGGCGAAAGGAATGATGTTCATACTGTTGTTATCAATAGTCCCTTAAGCTTTTCCATTTTGTGTCATGTCAAGGCGCGACGTGTTATAAAAAATGCTTTTATATCATGTTTCATGTTTTTAGAGAGTTATGCATAACAAGTTTTGTATAGTTATGACATGAATAATTTTACAAAAACAGACTGATTAGTGACATCAAATGTAAAATAAACATGTTCAGTATTATTTGCAGTAATATATATAATAAATTCTTGATTTTGTTGCACTTTGGTTATTTCGTTTCATTTTTCATAATAGTTAATTTTTTGAAATTAATGTAAACGATATTTATAAACCCAACAAATATTATTATGAAATAATATTTATATATGTGTATTATTGAAAGGTGAATTTAATTGATATTATCCAAAAACTTCTTGATTAATAACTTCGAAAAAAACATATATTTTTATTGATGGATTTTATATGTATTAATTAATAAATATAAATATTTTAAAAGAAATACATGTATATTGAATGATTAATTTTGTATAAATCATTCACAAAGTTATATCTGCTTTAATTTTTTTTAAGAGAATATTGAAACCAAGAATCGTAATTTCTATGATATTTTGCAATGTTTTAGAAGTCGCTAGGCGCTCGACCAGCGCCTAGAGCGCCTAGTCGGGGCCTAGAAGTTATAATAAATATATTATTTTTATTTATTTTCACAATTTCACTTATGAAATTACAAGTTATAATTGATAAATCTAGATTTAAAGTTTTAAATTTTACTTCTCATTGTAGTTTAAAAGCCTATAAATGTGGGTTCTACCAAATTTCTACCAAGTTTTTCACTGGAATAAATTAAAAGCTACATCATAATGCATTAAAAGCCTATAAATCATGCATATGTAAAGTTAATGTGCTAGAATACATTAAAAGCACTGTACAGTAAATAAATTAATGTCCAGCCACATCTTCCAACAAAACACACGCGTTTTCATAAAGCTGTCTAGAAATAAATTAATGTACCGAAAATGGCTCACGCTCACTTCACCTTCTTCTCGACCTTCCAATTTCAGAAGTTAAAATTCATCTTCTTGTACGAAAAAAAAAAAAAAAAATTCATCTTCTCGTCCCTTCCAATTTCTGAAGTCCGAATTTTAGATCCGCCGTTCCAACTTCAGATCAGTTTTAGCCTTTCAAATTCAGTCCCCGTCTCCTGATTTTGATCGTCCAGCTTCAAGCCTTCAACCCTATCGACCCCGGTCAACGTATCCGACCTCAGCCGCCTAGTCCCGCCAAAAACGCGTAGCCGCGGTGACCGCCGAGGCCGCCTAGCTCCGCCTAGCCCTGCCTAGCCCGCCTGGCAGATTTTTATGGCCGATTTTAGAAAATCGGTGGCGGCGGACCGCCGCCTAGGCCGATTTTTAGAACACTGATATTTTGAAATGAAAAAAACATAATGAAAGGGGTGTTTAAAATATAATCCAAAAGAGTTCTGAAGTGAATAATTAAATATTCAATTAACAATAAATGAATTTGAATTGTAATTGTTAATGATCAAAGATAAAAGTTAATTTTGGTTCCTTCCCTTTTTTTCCTACATAATCTAGAAACCAAAATAATATGAAAAATAAGCGTGTATTTTTAATATTTTGTATCAATAATATATTTTTGATACTAAGTCCAAATAGATCATTTACGAAATAAATTTTCTCTTAGTTATATTAGTCAATATTATTTTATCTACATTAGATATATAGGAGGAATATGCTTTGGCTTTCATCATTTATAATGATATAATACTTAACACTACTATTTCTCACTTTATTTTTACATAGAAAAAAATAATATAATCCAAAATAACATAATCAATAATATGATATTTTAAAACCAAAACAAATAGGATAAGAATTTATAAAGAAAAAAAAAAAATCGTAAGATTTACTTATCCTCTTGTATGAAAAGTTATATTTTAAATCGTAATAACCACAATGAGAACTAATGTGCATATAAAATAATATTGAATTATATAACTGAGAAAAGATGTAACACGTAAATTTATATCAAAATTTTAAAAATTGTATTCAAAATTATAATATCTTTGATAACTAGTAAAAATAATGATATTAAATTTTGATCCAAATGTTTATTGATTTCATACAACATAAGAAAAATGAAAATTAACCTTTTATCAATCACATATGTTTATTTCATTATTTGTTTTATATTTCTATATTTGCTTAGACAATCTTAAAGTCTCTATATCAACTAAAAAAATAAATTATTGAATCTATAAATATATAATGAAAGTTGAATAATATCAAAGATAAAAGAAAGAATAATAATATAGAAGAATGAAGAATATGTGATTGAAAAATGATTGTAACTATTATTGATTGTAACTCCCTTATAGAATTACATTGTTATCCTCATAATGTTGGGTATTTTTTGCAAATAATAATTTTCAAGAAACAACTCTTCCTTTTAAAATATAATGATATTAAAAATATATTTTTGATCCAAAATTTTAATGATCTCATACAACATAAGAAAAATGAAAATTAACCTTGTGTCAATTAATGTTTATGTCATTATTTGTTTTATATTTCTATATTTTCTTAGATAATCTTATTGTCTATATTAGCTAAAAAATAAGTTAATGAATATATTTAATATAACGAAAGTTGAATAACATCAAGAAAGAACAATAATATAGAAGGAATGAACAATATTTAATTGAAAAATGAATATAACTTCTAATGATTGTAACTCCCTAACATTAATGATAAAATTATTAATAACCTCAGAAAGTAGCTATAGTGTTGGGTATTTTTGCCAAATCAAAATTTTCAAGAAACAACTATCCCTTTTATTAAGAGAAGAGTTACAGATTATAGATATAGATAAAAGAATTTTTTCAGGATGATGGGATAGGGTTAAGTTGAAATATACTAATGCATGTTTATTAGTCAAACTCTATCAATATTCAATAATCGAGTTGAGATAATTTATCAAGAATTAAGGTATAACATGACAAATCTCAGTGACAAATGTTCGCAAAAATCCTTACACATGGATATACAAGTTACATGCCATAATACATGTGTGTGTCTGCAGTTAGTATGCCATTGCACAGTATCATATAGCTTTAACGAGCTAATATTTTCTTGATTTTCGAAACATATTCAACTACAATCGCATCCAGGCTTTTAGCCACTCAGCCCTGCCCCTGCCCTGCCAACAAACGTGCAATTGCTGATCCTTGGTTCATTTGTGTTCTCAACTGCCGTTTTAATGCCGTTTTAATGCAGAAAGTTTTCATGGCTCATATAACTGTAAATTACCTCTGTATACTCCAAACTTGTAATAGGTCTTCCATACGTAAACTTTATAATGTTTCAATAAAGCTGTAACCAATGCCACTTATTTACTCAGATGGTACTGAAACTGTGGTGGTGCTTGTGTTTATCCGCTTACCAAAAAGTATCATGAAAAATAGGATTGCACAATGTGTGGACATAATATTTTAATGCTGTCTTTCTCATTTTTTTAGTCTTGGCAATGATGATTGCGACTCATCTAAATCTTGTAACAATCAGTTTGATAAAAATGTATGACCTTTTCTGACAGCAAAATTCAAATATTGATGAACCATATTTATGTTCTCTTCCTTTTTTTTATATGTTTTTTCCTTTTTAACATTGCAGATTTGTAGTGTTGTTGGTAATTGATATTTTTTTTATCTTTGCCAGAACCCCAAGTGGAATCCGTCGAGCTTGGAAGAAGTTAATACGGCAGAAATAGATGCTCTTTTTGTGCCCTTGGGCCCAGATGTTGCAGAATTAAATGTGTGAGTCCTGCACTTCCAACTTTGCATTGAAGAGATCTCCTGGCAACTTATTTGAATTAAATTATGAAATTGGTGTTCATTAAACTTGTCCTTACCTTCTGTTGAAGAGATCATCTGGCATCTTGTTTGCATTATATATTATATTGTAGTGGTGTTAATTAAACTTTGCTTTTGGGCGGCTGCACTATCCTGCTCCTTTTAATGGAGATACGAATAAAGGTCAAAATTTAACTAGTAAAACTGGTTATGCTCAGGGTTAGCATCTGTTATGCAGGGTGCTTCACATTTGCATCAGAAGTTTTTAACAAAATATTCGACTTATGTACAATGTAACTGGAAGCTTTTATGCCTTATTCAGAAAGCAGAATGATTTCTTTAATTACTAGACCTATTAATCAGCTTACATAATACCTTTATTTTATAGCTCACTCAATGGGCAGTACGAAAGCTGCTCGACTTACGAGAGGGGCGAAAGCTTTTAGGTGTAACGGATTTATAATTTTCTAAATACTGTAGTAGATTGTTCAGTTTAGAGTATTATATGGTTCATATATAACTATTTTGAAAAGTTCAAGCGAGTTTGTGAAGGAAAAATGACAAAGAATCGAAATTCGTTACTCATTGTTGAGATGAGCATGTATGCAACGGACGTTTGGTGAAGAGAGCATTATGAAGATTCGTGGATAGCTTTATTTCTCGTGTTTGTTTTTTGTTCTTAATTAGCATTTACCTTTTTAAACCTAGAATCGTGTTTCACTTGTAATGTCGCAGTTACTTTTTTTTTTTATAGTTTAACAACTTTAAACATGTTGGCTTGTGATTGGTCGCACGAGATCGTCAGGCGTCTGTTGTGATCTCGGGGTTTCAACATTTGGGGGATAAGAGTACTCGAGCTTACATGCAGAGCTTAAACGGTGGCATGATGAGATGAGAAAATTCCCAAACTTTATTGCTTACAATATGATAAAACCTGTCTAGTTTACACTTTCAAATTTGTAAGTGGTGAACATTATTTTGCAACCCTGATAGGTCGATTTGGGATCCACCCGACGTAGAATCCTACTTGGGTTAGGCTAAGCAAGGGACCCTTGTGACCCAGTTGGGTCAACACTTACGGACCTAAGTTTGAGGCTTGGACTTGGTGTATTTTCGTTAGTGCATGCCGACAAATTGTGTGTGCGATGCCGGATAAGGAAAGGTATGCTTAAAAGACTAGGAGGTTTCGGGTGAGCTTGGTGAGGAGTCGAGTTGCAGGGCCTAGTCAGGCGTTCCTTAGTTTGAGAAAAGGTTCAACATAACTTAGATAGGTCAGAGGGGACTTGTGCAATATTCAGTTTTTTTAATGTTTAGTGGCTAGAATCCAAGTGACTTTTTCCTTGGGGGAGGAGGTAGTATTCAAAGGGGGATGGAGATGGTTATGCTAGAGGTACATGAGGGGGTCATAGGCTTGGTGTGGTTCCCGACTAACTCCCCCAGTTGGATCGGATCACGGGTTGGCTCGTTTGACCCAAGTCGGTATCTGGTACGGATAAGTCAAGGGGCTCGGTTCGGTCAACGCTAGTGCGTAGGGCTGTGCATAGTTTATCTGCACATGGGCTCGGTCTTGACAATTAGAGTCGGTTGGATTACTCTAGTAGGCAAAGGTCGGACTATCAGTGCGTGGCTAAAGGTTGGCTTGATTGATGAGAATCGAATGGGGCGTGCGTGCATGGGTGCTGCACCCTGGCTCTTGGTGAGAATAATTATGGATTTGAAGCGGCGTGGCAACAAGTATGGCTTCAGGCCCTTCATGTTGTGGCAACTATTCACAAAGGATGAGGGTTGAGTTGGCTTTAGATAAGGAGTATCACTAGATAAGGGAATTTGGCCAACTGCCCAACGATTACATTTGTTCTAGCAGTTGGGGATGTCAACCGCATAACTTGGGTCTCTTAAATAGACCATGAGCTGCACAGATGTGGGTACGAGCGAGACCGCGCGAGTTGTATGCGAGCCTTGGCATTTTTCCAACATTGCTATTGAGTAATTATAAGCATCTTGGTTGGGCATGAAGCTTGTAATCGTGTTGCCTTGAATTTACCTAATGCATGTGGGTGGGTGTGCGTTGCTTGCTTGTTTGTGCGTTAAACTCTAATTCGACTTTTATAATTAATTAGTCGAGCGTGGTGTGCGATCGAAAGGCTGACTGGTCGAAGAGATCAGGCCGCGTAGGATGAGATTGAGTGAAATATTTTTGCCAAATACGTATTCCTGTGATAAGTGGCATCAGAGCCTACATTAAGTTATGTACGCTGAAAATCGAGGAACTATGGGTGATCCTTTTGACATGAAGACCTCGTAGTGTCTTTTGAAGCAAAAATCCAAAGGTTGGAGAGCTTATTGGGTTGACCGCCTCAAACATCATTTCCAGCGACGATCTTCAAGCAATTGCAAACACGATGCGCTCGATGATCTAAAGAGCAGATTTTATGGATTATTTATCAGTTTGTTTACAAAACATTTTTATACCTTATCTCATCCACTCTCTCTATATTTTTTTATTCGTTCTCCATATCGTTTAGTTTGTAGGAAAAAAATGGGGTTTATAGCTTCAAAGTAGAAGAAATAGATTAGAGCTTCGATGGCCGAAAATTTCATTCGCCTTGTGGTAGACGACGGGCAGATGGAGGTGATGCATCGGGGGGCTACTTGTGCATAGTAGGAGAAGGCACGCAGACGGTGGGAAGATGCGGCTAACGGTCACGGTCACGGGAGATGGTGGATTCAGGTGAAGGTCGGAGGTGTGTGCGTGGTGGTGCTAGGAGTCCGACGGTGGTCTTTGATGAAACTGGATAGCCGAAAATAATTGGAAAATTAAAGAAGATATCGCATATTGACCAAAATTTCTTAGACCTAGAATGTTTCACCAAAAAAACTGGAGGCCTTCATATTAGAATTTTGTTGGAAATTTTAAGAGGTGAACGAGGATGAGACAATTTTCAAGTTGTTGTAAAAAAAAAAATCAATTAGAGAAAGTCGGTTGGCGATTGAGTTACGAGCAGTATATGTTTCATTTATATACAGTATATTCTCATTATATGTTTCTGTCGGCACAATTTCAGTGACGCTACGACAATTTGCTTGTGAGCATCGACGACATACGAATACCTCTGATAGAATCTGTTTCAATGCTTTATTTGATGTTTATTAATAGTTTATGTTTGATATATTAGAAGATTTCACGATCTATTTCAATGAGTATTTGATATTTATTCATAGTTTATATTGGTGTATTTAGAAGTTCTTTTTGTTGACGACGAAAATTGACAAAGGAGTAATTTGTTTTTTTTTTTTTTTTT